ACAATTCACTGGCACTATCACACACCAGCACTGCACTGATACGAGATAGAGAGACACAAACAGAGATAGAGAGAGAGGTTCATGACAGTCTGTCAGTAAAAAAAAAGGTGTTGTCTGAAGACAAGCCCTAACCACAAGAGAAGCTCTGAAAACAAGACCAAAAAACTGATTCAGAGAATTATTTCTCAACTGAATACAGCAGAAAATACAAAAAGTTTGTGTAGGCTGTAATTAGGCAGACTAAATATAAAACGCGGCAGCATTGTGCACTGAAGTTTAATGGACAGTGTCAAACACAGGTTATTACATAACCTGTTTGTTTCCTTAGGGCTGCTTGTTTTTAAAACTCACATAAAACACAGCACAGACAGAGCATTACTATTTTTTGTGAGGCACTTGTAATACGTAAATGTATAAGTAAGTGTTAAATACAGTGCATGTGCAAATATATGTTTGTATTTTTAGCCGGTAATTAAAGAAAAACGCTTCGCCAGCCTACTGTTGCTATGGTAACCTCGTAAGGCTAACGCATTGTGATCTGTTTTTATACAGTCTATGATTGTGATACGAGTGATAGTACGTACACTATCTTTTGTGATTAATGACACATTTCAAACCCTTTAAAACGTCTCATTTTCTGTAAGAATAAATACTTTTATCTTCCAAACTTGTTGTTTGGATTTCCCTTGGGGGATTCAAGCTTTATAAAAAAAAAAAAGTAGCTCAGCCCCTCGACCCTAAACCCCGACGTTTACCCTGATAATGTATTTTCTAATGTTAGAGCCAGCGGGAACTGTCGAAATAAACTACAGTAACCCCGGGCTCATTGAAAATGCATTGTGTGTGACTGGCTGATCGCACTGTTGCAGTACTAAATAAGCGCGTCTACAAAAATAACTTCGTTTTCCGTCCTATTGACGTAAATAAAAACAACAAACGTGAGTATAGCCTATGTTGTATTAATGCTGTCTGTAACGTTACATTGACGCGATGCTGCTTTAGCACGTTGTGATGGCGTGAAGGAAACCTGCACGGAATCGCACGTTATAGATAACATTTGGATGAAGCTATATGCAGCACGCGGCTATATGCGCCTTCTCTCTCTAGAGATGCTGCTATGAACTGTAGTGACCTCGGATAAGGCATGTCCAGATCCCCCGCTCAATGAACCGCAATTTAACGGAGACAAAATAAACATTCAACTTACACGATTATGACTCTCGCAAGCGCTCGCGACTACGATGTCCGACCTTTATTCTTCTGTCGGATGTCAACCATGTTGACGGAGGAATGAATGGAGTAGTTGGCGGTCTCAGGGAAATGGCATGCCTACCGACGCGGCGCGGCACCGGGACTCGCATCACATCATCCAGCAGCCATTACAGATTGCCACAGTGATCGGTACTGAGCATGTGCGCCGCGGCGCGGAGAGCGGATTAGCGAGCGCCGTGGCATCATGAGGGCACAGCACACGTTGAGACTGAAAGAAAGAGACGCGGCGCGGAGAGCGGATTAGCGAGCGCTGTGGCATCATGAGGGCACAGCACACGTTGAGACTGAAAGAAAGAGAGGAAGAGAGGGGGTGGAGAGGTGGAATGATAAGGAGTCAGAGCAGACGACTCAGCATTCACAATGCCAACTGTGCTATAAAGATTAAGAGCGCTATAATGAACCAGATCACGGGCTGTGAATAATACAAAAATGATAATCGACTTGATAATTAGGCTATCTATCTGTAATACTACCTCTTCACATCTCTCTCTCTCTCCCTCTCGCCTGTTTAGCGTTCAGATAAGTCAGGCTACAGTGCTTAACAAATTTATTTATTAGACCACCACCACCACCACCACATAATGTAAAGCTGTGTCACAGTGCCCTAAAGTAACAGTATTGGTGATTACCAAAATCCTTTTTTATATTTCTGTAATGGTTAATCCGCCAGTAGGCTATGTGTAAACTCTTTAGTCACAGTAGATAGTGCTTCTAATGATAAAATATAATTATTGTTATCAATGAATTTTCGAATACTGTTTTACAAGAAAGGCAGGAAAAATAGTAAAGCTGCCTTTCTTGTAAAACAGTAAATTCAAAAAAGCACTTTATTATTTTTTATTCAGATGCCCAATTACAGTCAATAACTACAGAGACTGTGGAAAAGTACAAAAAAACAAAGCAAGAATGCAAGCTGTTGCCTAATGAGGCCATACAAAATATTAATTTTTTTTTTGGTTTGTGTGAATAAACACTATTTAGTTGTTTCAGTTTGTTATTTGCCTAATAAAAGACAATAACGTTTTTAGTTTTAAACATGTTTTGGACAGATGTTGTGTTTTCTCTTTATTGGTGATCAAATAAATTTGTTACGCACATACAGTGCTTAACAAATTTATTGGACTGTATTTATTGACTAAGTGGGCATCTGAATAAAAAAAATAATAAGGTGCTGTACTATTTTTCTGCCTTTTTTCTAAAACAATCAATTCTAAAATTCACGGATAACAACAATAATTATATTTTAGCATTATAAACACTACTGTGACTAAAGAGTTTAAACATACTGGTGGATTAACCATTACAGAAACATAAAAAATTATTTTGGTAAACACCAATACTGTGAGTTTAGGGCAGCTGTGGCACAAACCTTACATTGACAGGTGGTGGTCAAATAAATTTGTTAAGCACTGTGTGTGTGTGTGTGTGTGCGTGCGTGCGTGCGTGCGTGCGTGTGTATAATTATGTTATCATATTTATTTATGTTTTATATTATTTGTAACAAAATGTATTAAAACTATACTTTAATGACTTTGTCCTTGTATGATTTCGAATGGAGGTCTTGTATGGAAAAAATGCCCCCAATTTGTGTTTAATTACAAGAAGATGTGGTTCTCTGCTCTGTGGTTCTATCGCTCCAAAAAAAAAAAAAAAATGTGGTTAAAAACTGATGACCTTAATCATGCTTTATGGGGAATTATCATCTCCAAACCCCTAGTAATTTCTCCTCATGTGGTGAAGCCACAGCTGGCTCAGCTATTCACTCATGTTGACGTGAACTTCCCTCCTGTATAAACATATGATTAAGCATCATTTATGGAATATGATGTAGCATTCAGGGAATATACAGTAAATGTCCATTCAGTAATAAAATACAATAGGTCACATGTTAACCCACAACAGCAGTCCCAAAGCAGCTGTCTTGTGGTAAGGTAACCCAGAACAATAGTTTCAAAAACAAGAGTCTCAATAACTGGCCAGTTTTTTGTGTCAAAATCACAATCCCACAAGTTTCTGTTTGCATGTTAAGTGAAAACTCATTTGCAAAATTACTGCTAGACACTGCTGACTAAAAGAGAAACAGAGAGATCACTTGTAGACATTTCAGACCTACTACCTATTTGCATAAAATGACCATACACAACTTTTAGTGAACAGTCTGTTTATTATAAGACAAAATGTGAAAGAACACATTTAATTACATATTTTATTAACACAGTGTGTCTGCTACATACAGACGGTAAATCATTTAATTATAAGTATGTGGATGTTTCTATCAGCCTACAACAGCACATGTCCCAGAGGGAGTGAGCCAAGATTCTCTTTTAGTCTCTATACTTCATAAGTAGGTCAGCAATCTGTACCCTCTTCACTGTCTCTCATAATGATGTTGAGGAAATGCTTCTCAGATCAAAGTTTTTATGTCACACTTGAAAAACACCATGAAAAAACTCTTAACTCTGATAAGGAGGTACAGTGGCCTTTTCAAGATATTCTATATATCTCAAAAGTATAAACCTCCCTGGATAAACAGGTCAACTATTTAACCAGAAATATATTTAAGAATACATTTAGCCCAGAAAATACACTTTTTTTTTTTTTTTTTTGCTTAATTGTTTATTAATTGTCTGTTTTGTGATTAGTAGAGTTCAGATCACAGCTGATCAGATCAATTATTGGCGTTTCCCTTTCATTTACTTATTTTCTATGCTCTTTTTATTATTAACTAGCTTTAATTAATGAATGGCAGGTTTGTTTGGGTAAGTTCCTCAAATGTCAGTGATGCACCAATTGTGTCATTTCCAAAAACCCAGCACTTGTGTTTTTTACAACTGGCTCATGATGGTTAAGTGTCACTCATGGTGTGTTACACGTGTTTTTTTCCCCAGACTTCAATAGAGGAATTGTTTTTACACAATGCTTGAACAATCATTGATAAATTGGGTTAGGGGGCTCTTTTGATTTGATGCCCGAACTCTGTTGACATTGGTGGAATAGCAAGTCGCTTTGCTCCACATTGAGATGTGACAGTAATTCCTGTCTTGGGCAGTCTTATGTGTAATCTACAGAGAAAGAAAAAAACATTTGCACATAATTAGGACCCTAACAAAGTCCAAACCTTTCAATGTGCGTGGTATTTAGCAAACTATACACACTACATAATAGTTCACACTTGGTGAGGCATGACATGAAATCAAATTTCTTAAATTTAAACATGCAATCAAGACAAACTGAATTAAGAGTGTATTGATGTTTTATATCTTATATAATCAAGTAAAGACATCAGAAACATTGAAATCATAATAAATACATGTAACACAATCAAAATGTACTACAGTTATAAATAATTCATTTAAAGGGGTCATATGATGCGATTTCAATTTTTCCTACAGGGCATCATCACAATATGGTAGGGTCGTAACATTTCCGTCACATGCTTGAGGTATTCGGTCAATCACAACGCACTGGATAGCTGGCCAATCAGAGCACAACACCAAATACTGTTCTTTTTAGCAGCATCATATGACCCCTTTAAGAGCATGATAATGTTATTAATTCTATTATAAAATATTATAGATACATACATTATTACAAGAACACATACTATGTGTTTGTATTTAATTACACAGTATATGACCAAAAAAGGTCTAATAGAGTCAGTCATTTTTCATCACTACAGAAAGCATCATAATGTTTAAAATGATTTTTATTTAAAGATGCATAATAAATTATAGCATCTTTAACTTTGGTTCTCGTTTCCTCTGCTTGCTATTTGTTCTGGTTTTGCACCTAAAAATGAACAGAGAAATTTTGTATTATAATGTGTGCAGAAAAAAAAACATTAATAAAGCAATAAAACAATTTTAATGGGGGTAAAACAAATGAATGTTTTGCTAAGAAATATAACAAATGTTAAATACACATACTTGTACTGGTTCCAGTCACTCCATGAGGAATTACAGAATTCATCCCTCGCTCTCACACACACCGTCATCCCTTTTGTCACTGGCAGCTTGTGACTTTGTGTGAAGAAAATCTGAACAAAACAAATAGTAATATATTTCCAGGTCTGACTAAAAACAATAATAGTTTTAATAGTTAAAATTTAAGTCTTGCTTTCACAGAAATAAATTACATTTTAAAATATACTAAAATTGAAAATAATTTGTAACGATTGTAATAATTTTCACAATATTACTGTTTTAGGGTGTAAATGCACCCTAATTATTCCAAACATTCTTTTGACCAGTAGTGTGTGGGGTTACCTCTTGTGAGTTCGGTTTGGAGCAGTCACAATTGTCATGTTTCCGACAGCGAATCTCTTTCACTTGGAACATGAGAGGGAAGTAGGATGATGGTGTGCTCCAGGAGTGTGGATATTTGACCTCTACGGATGTTTTATTGATCCTACTAATAGGCACCATATCAGGCCTCACTAAGAAGTGCAGAAAAAGATTGTTTCATATTCAGATGAGCGGCATTCTAATTCAATATTCTAAGACCCCATCTTAGCGATTTTTGAGAGCTCACCGATATCCATGATGTAGAACCTTGTATTGTAGGATTCAACAACAAAGCTGCTTCTGAAGTATATGGTCAGGTTGATGCGCTCCACCTCCTCTGCATAGGGACAATAGTCATGGTCTAAGCATGTGATATTCCCACTGGAATCCAGACTGCAGCTGATGTTGCTTCCACCAGGGCTGGAACAGAATCAGTCAAGTATTTTTTTTTTTTTTTTTTCACACCTCTTACACCATTGCAGATTGCAGAACCTAAGGTAAGATGGAGAAACTTACCGTGTGGCTTTGATATGAGCAACATGGCCATTCCTATTTACATCCCATGTCCAATTACATTTGAAGGAACCTCCATAGTTATTTGTTGAACAATCGATGTAACCTTGTTTGGTAATTCAATAAATAAAAAAAATTATAATAAGAATTAAATAAAACAATTATATAATACAATTATGAAACTGAATTTAATAAAAAATAAACAAATACAATTTATAAAAATGTATAAACACTACTGTTCAAACATTTGGGGTCAATTTATTATTATTATTATTATTAAGAAATTAATACTTTTATTCAGTAAATTGATCAAAAGTGACAACACAGGCTTATATATTTGTCTATTTAATTTATAAATTTAATTTATAATTTGTAAATTATTTAATTTATATATGTAATTTATAATGTTACAAAATATTTATAATACAAATAAATGCTGTTCTTTTGAACATTATATTCAAATAATAATAAAAAAATTTTTTTCCAAAAATTAAAATTAAAACATTACTAAGTAGCATACTCATGGTCCATGTAATATTTTCCCCTTCATATGCTTCTCCACAGATAAGTGGCACGTTTACATCTTCACCTACATTGACATTCACCACAAGCACTGATGACAGACAATTGAAAAACAAATGAGAAGTGCAAATATAACAATACAAGTACAAATAAAATAAATTGTAGCAGTTTATAAAACAGAGCTCAAGTACTTTGTAGAAATTTTACACAGAAACAATTCTTTAGACATGATTCAGACCAACAAACAAACCATTTGGTTTAAGTGTCCAGTAACTCTCCTCTGTTTTGATGGATCCATCAGCAGAGGACTGGAGAAACAACAACGTACTCAATAAGAGAAAAAACATCTGTTGGTGGAAAAAAGAGAAAAGTTTAGACTGCAATTAATACGCTTAATCATTCGTTCTCAGCTGTGGCTGCAGGTCTGTTCTGACATAAAGTGAAAAATCAATGCTAAATGTAAAGAATAAAATACAGCTAACCATATAGTTGTGCATTTAGGAAAGCAAAATATATAGACTTATCAACTTCTAAAAGAGACATGAAAACGTTGTTGTATCAAGTTGAGCTCTTTGGTGAATCATCTATCATTTTGCAATATGGTTAATACTAACAGAACAAACAATAGGCTAAATAATTTATTTGTTAAACTTTTAAATCATACTTCACTTGTTTATGCATGTATAAAATTGTCAGTTTTCATGTCATGTTAATAATCTTACTTATTATTGGGCCTATGCAATTAGTGGTAACCTAGGCTATACAAAATTGTCCTTAATTAGATTTTTTTTAATTACCATGTATAAACTGCATAAACATTTTATACATTTTGATATTCAATTATATATATATATATATATATATATATATATGGGGGTGTGCAACCGGGCCCCGCGGCGAATGGACCCCCGCCCCGTTATTATATATATTAAGTATATTGTTTATATCTATATAATATATATATATATATTAGTATTTATGTAAAAAATAATTGAGTGGTTCTTTTCATGACATTATAAAATGAGTTTGAAATAAGTGACTTACCCTTGATCACTCAAAAATCCAACAAGATTAACCTCCGCAACCAGATTGACTTTGCTTTGTTGTTGTGTTTAGTGTGCAAGCTTATAAGTAACGTGTCAAGAGGGCAGAATTTCCCTGGCCAGGAAAAGTCCACTGCAGGTTATAGAGGAACTTCAAACCCTGCATGAGCAACTCCAGAACCTTAGCTGTTCTCAGATATCATCACTAATTCTCTCACTTCCACTGAACCTTCTCACTGTCCTCTCTCTTCTCTAATATTGGGCTATTTATATACAATCACACAGCCCATTCAGAACAATATGATTCTTTACTGGATTGTATTATATTGTGCAGGAAAACATAATATATGAAATTGCTAATTGGTTTCCAATGTGAGGAATTGAGTCTAAAGGGCGGGAAAGATATTAAGTCAATATTTGTTTTCCAACACCTTGGGTATTTTTGCCACAAGTTCTCATCTGAAAGCCAGAGGATGATATACCTGGTTGCATTACTGTGTTTGATTTGCTTGTCCCTACTATCCGTTGGTTTTTCCAATTCAGTTATTCCCCTATTCTCTCAGATAATGACATTTAGTGATTTGTACATTGAGATTACTGATAAGAAATTTCACATTAAATGCTGATGACACTTTTCAGCCCAACACACGAAAAGTGTTTTGAAAGATGCCCAGATAACATAGAAAAAAAAAGAAAGAAAGAAAAAAGAAAACAGAACTCTCAGTAGATGTTATAAAATCTACAAAGAAATAACATTGTAATTTTTATACATCTCAGAACGCGGACTTTTTACCAATAATAAACACAAACAATTCTATAGGAGTCCAGTTAAAGCACGTACCTACTGAATTATTAATAACAACGATAATCCCGACGAGCCGAGAAAAACCATGAGACCATTTATCTCTTGTTTACAATTTATTTCCAAGGGCGCATTATAGCCTATAACGTGCATGCTATCACATTCATAGTGCAAAGGAGAAGTAGTGAATACAACATTGCTTACCAAAAGTAAATATAGGCTTAATAAAACTACAACAGATATTACTGTGAATATTTTCAGATATGTTCAGAAATATGTGCATCCAGGGTGCGAATGGACCTGCAGTGGAGCAGAAATGCGCTTCAGTTTTCCCATGGAGTGTGATAATGCAGCACAGCCAACAACAAACTGACACGATGAATGACTAAAATAACTCAATTATAAGCGCCACCATTTTGAATGAAATAAACTAGCATTTGTAAAGGCCTGAAGCTTTGAAGTAGTTGTGACGGCCATAGATGTTCGAGATTTCTAGTAGCCTAAACCACCGGAAGTTCAAATATTTTCAAAATATGTAATTTGTAAAAAAAGATTAATTCCCGAATCAAACTGCACTTTGTACACTGTAAAAAAATGATGTAAGTCACATCATAAATTATATCACGTTTTTTATATGTTAGGCTATATGAGATAGCCTAGATTCAACCACTGATCTATAGCTATGACTCTTCTCTATTATAGATCAGTGGATTCAACTCATTTTTAAGTCAGTTTGATTTAATTTAAGACGTAAACAACCAAGTTGATTATAGTTAAACTTTTAAGGCAGCAACTGAATTTAAGTCTTTAAGTTGAAATTGGTGAATATGTTTTATAGTGTATTTCCCGGAAAAACGTTTGGCATGAGCCAATCCCAAAGCCATAAACGCGGAAGTGTGAAAAGTGCCTCATTACCATGGTAACAGCATTAATTGTAGATTGACAGTGGAAGCTGTTAACATTATTTAAGTCTAAACGTGCAAAATTAAGTTAAAAAGGGGGGTTTTCTTCGAATATTTGAATTTAAACACGTTTCACTGCCTTCTCTTCTGACTAACACTAAAATAATGATTATTTTTGTCTGCTGGATTTTCACGAGAAAAAAAAATCACTGAATAGTAAGAATACACTAATAATTGTTAACTCGCATTTCCCCTTTAACTTACAATAACATGAGAACAATTGACAAATCTGTAATTTTTTATCAATCTTTTTATGAAATTTTGTATTAATCTATAATAGGTGGATACATTGCTACGGTGGAATTTCAGTTGTTTGGAATAACTGTTGTACTTTTCTTTTCCCTTCCTCAGACATTCAGTTCTACCATTTCAAGCATGTGACAACAATGGGGAAGAAACGCATAATGCTGACGTTCGACATGCTGGATTGGGATGCTGATGGAGAAATTGGATTTGAGGAGTTTTATATGATGGTCTGCATTCTGCTCAGTAGTGAAGTACGACATTCTCTTACAAAACATGACCACATCAAAAACAGCCCCTCCACACTTACCACAACCATACAGGGCTGTGTACCATACAATATCTGAGCAAAAAGCAACTTCCTCTGTTTGATGCTTCAGGAAAAACCCCATTTACTGCCAAATTTCCTCTGGCTTTATCATTATTGTTGTTTTATGAGAGGATAAGCTTGGTTGTGATGAATGTCACATGTGCTGAAATGTATATGTGTACGTAGCATGATGTGGAAGAGAACTTCATCTGTCACCATTTCCTCCCTGTCTTTGAGCTGTTGGATATGGACGGTAGCAAAACCATCAACCTGAAAGAGTTTAAGGCTTCCGGATTCCTTTTTAACCTCAAGGGTTCAGATTTCAAAAAGATCTTGAACCTGTTTGACATCACTGGGGACGAGGTAGAGATATCATAAAGCAACCCATGCTGCTTAAAGGGATAGTTCACCTTCAGTTGCTGGACCCCATTGACTTGCATAGTGTTTTTTTTTTTCTTCCATACTTTGGAAGTCGATGGGGACCAGCAACTGAAGGTGAACTATCCCTTTAACAGTCTTCAAATATTTAATCTGATAATAGTGTTTAACATCACTGTACAACCCTCGATAATCACTAACATATGCAACCAAATTTTGCACTAGGTGACTAAAATGTCTGTCATTAGCCACTGACTACTAAATTTCATAGCACATAAAAATAATTGACAGTCTAGATGTAAATGGTGTTCTTTCTTGTTTTTCCCAGTCAAAATGACAAAGATCCTTTGGAATTATTCATTATTTTAGCTCTTTACATTTTGTCACTGTTTGTCACTGTTAGCTGATACTTTCAGTAGAGGAACTGAAAGAAACCAGTGAGTAAGTGTTACGAGTCTCAAACTAGCGAAACTACAGTAGCAAATGATTTTGATTGGGGTTCGCGGCGTCTTGGCACATTGGTCGCGTGGTTCTAGTATCTCTGGATCTGCTCCCCCCCTAGTCGTGATGAGGAGAGATCCCGGACGAGCCCCCACAGTTTGTTACGAGTCTCAAACTAGCGAAACTACAGTAGCAAATGATTTTGATTGGGGTTCAATACTCTCCTAAAAAAAAAATTGAAATAGATAAAATGTTACATTTATGTAAACACCAAAATGTTATGTAAAAAGTCTCCTGAGTGAAATAAAAAAAAGTACTAGCTAATGGCGGGCGACTATCTCCAATGTGTCCATAGAGAGGGTTGCCAGTTTCAGACAAATATGGATTGTTGTGTGATCAAAGAATAACTTGTGCATAATAGAGCATTAAATCTAAAATGAAATCTTTAATTACCAACAGTGCCTGAATCTAAGCGAGTTTCAGAAGTTTACCATGATGTGCATGGATGCCCAAAAGGAGTTCAAGAGGAAACGTGGAAGATTACACCGCACACATTTTGTGAAAGAAGATGAACTTCATTTACTTCACTGAGTAAACTATGCTTGAGAAATAAAAAATTAAAGGAAAAACAATAGTAGTAATAGTAGCCTAAGTATCAAAAGAAAAATAGAAGAGATAATGAGGTATTTGTTAAGAATGATATTGTAGTGGTTATATATGTGGATCCATGTAGATCCCAGACTAGTCACGTTTATTACTTAAGTGAAAATTTCTCAGGTTATATTTATTTTTGAACGTTCATTTCTGTAAAAGATACAACCCTTTACATTTTGGCTACACAAAAGCTATTTATATATTTATTATTAATATATATTTCCACTGTCAATGCCCAAGAAAAATATACAGCTCATTATCAGGGCACTATGTGAGGTTGTCACAATGGAACCTATTGTTAATCAGTCAGTTTTGTCTGTTTCAGTAAAATGTGAACAGCAATTAAATTTTGAAACAGAACTCTTCATGAAGAGTAAAACAGGAAAGGTAAAATAAAATATCAAACTATTATTGTGGCAAACCAATATTAATAAATTGTTTGTATGCGCAAAAGTTACTCTAATTTTTGACTTTGTGTACAAAATACATTTGTGTAACGGCGTTTGATTCAAAACCTTATAGTTACTGAAATATGTGACAACTTGCACAAGTGACATCTAGCCCTGTCTCCCTATACTTATGGCTACTATTATAGTTTCATATTATATGAGTTGATGACATATGCTTCCCTTCACCCTGAAACCTTTGAAAGTTTCTACCACAA